TGTGCTTCCTTCCCCTCCCACCAACTCGCCCTCTGTTGTAGCTTGTAGCTGACTGTGCCCGATGCACGCACTTACCTGCCCCTCTCACGCCTGCTTTGCCTGGTTGTCGTCCAGGTGCATGATGCGATGCTGATGGCAGATGGCCCTGGAGCAGGTGCGTGGCTGTCACTGCATCGGCTTGGAGGAGGGGCTGGTAGTGGGGAGCAGGTGCTGCTACCGATGGCACGACTCTGCTCGGCCTTCTCGAAGGGCATCTGTTCGCTCTGTTGGAGAGCGCAGTGCTATCGCTGCCGTGGCTGCGGTTGCCTGAGATGGCATTCCCTTGCTCACAGGGCTCGCCCGCCTGCCTGCCCCCGCTGGGACGGTGCAGGCGCATGCCAAGAGCATCACTCAGGGCGCTGGCGTAGGCTGCAGCACGGCGGCGGCAGTGTCAGTGTGCAGGGGGCACGCAGGGTGCCCCCCTGCTGGCTCCGCCCCGACTACATGTGATTGGCGAGGCGGGCAGGGCCGCCAGCTGACGGGCACGGTCGCCGCCCCGTTTGCGTCAGACTCCCATGTCATCAATCGCTCAATTCTGCAGCGGCCCTGGCTGTGCTTGGATCACCCTCTTGTCCTTGGGCATCTCCTACCATCAAGGGGCATCCCCAACCTTAAAACACGTTTACTAATAATGCCCACTGGGAAACTGTTTCCCCTGTTGCTTTCTGTCTCATGTTTCCCCCTGGAAACTGTTTTCCTGCTGTAAGGTTCTTAGTCTGTTTTTAAGGCCAGAAAGTAGCGCAATTGTTTCCAGGGTGACATTCCATTCTTAGAAACTCTGTCATGTTTGGTTTAGGCGGCATACGACCGCGACCCCAGAGGGCAGCTGTGGCAGAAGCTGGCAACCCGCGGCGTGGACCCAGCTTGGCTGGCGGCAGCGCAGGCGTTGTACACCAATGTCCCCATGTCGGTGCGCACCTCAGCTGGGCTGTCGTCCTGCTTCCAGGCCGTGGCAGGACTGAAGCAGGGCTGGCCCCTCGGCCGCACTCTGTTTGGGCTGTACATTGATGACCTCAAGGAGGTGATGTTGGCGGCGGCGCAGCGTGGCGAGCAGCTCGACCTCCCCAGCTTCCTCGGCAGCAAGCTCAGCAGCCCCTGTGCCGCCGCTGCTGCACGCCGATGACATGGTGCTGCTGGCCACCTCATCGGCCGCGCTGCAATGGCAGCAGTACTGACACCAGTGGG